GCGATTTTGGGGGGTGCAACTGGCCAACTGTGTTCGTGACAGGCAATATGGCCGTCTAACAGAAACGCGATTGGAGAATGTAACGCAAGCACCATCAACCCAAAACTTTCAGAAATAAGGCGGACTCACCGTAACAAATTTACTAATATGCTGACGCTTTAGAAAGCTTAGTCAGCTCACCATTGTCGAAGCGTTAACTACAAGTACGCATAGCGCACGCAACTAGACTGCTCACCGAACCATCCTCCAAAGAGCAGAGGCAGTAAGCAAAAGAATCGATCGATATGGGGCCGATAAACGGGTCACGGCACGCCACTTCCAACTCTGTTCAATTTACTGCAGTTAACGCTTTGACAATGATGAGCCGACCATGGTCTCCGAAACGTCAGCAGATGTATCAGTCTGTTCCGTTGAGCCCGCCTTATTTATGAAAATTAACAACCAGGGTCTTTCAACTTTACCTGTCTGAATGTGACCCAATACTTCCAGGCAATGGATGTTCTACATTTTTGAAGAAATTCAGGCAACAAATACTTCATATACCCGCAACTTCTTTTACTGACTGATATCGAGTCGAGCACAGGGGCTCTGACACAGAATCGGACGAGAGTCGTGCGCGTCCAGCCCCCCCCCCTCCCCCTCCAAGGTAGCCGACTCTGTCTACCATCGCAGCGGAGTAATTATCAACCTTTTTTGACGGCATCCTTTCCCCAGATAAATACGAAGGCCCGAAAACAGTCAAGAACTATGCGTATCCATATGAACAGGGGTTGTCTTTTTTCGAGTACACATATATATGCATATATACTAAACCTTATGAACAAAGTATGACGAAAGAAGGCTCAAGGAGATTGTGAGCGCCTTCAGAATGAAGATGTGAACTGTAATACGAATCTCACAGCCTCTGTTAAAGAACAGGAGAAAGGAAACTGGCGTTTCAGTGCGCACAAACCAGCGTAGGCGGGTTGCTAAAAGGATGGCAAAATGGGTCCGGGAACAGAGTAACTGGCTTAGAAGAAGGACATTCCAACAAGGAATCCACCGCCGAAGGATCCAAAGAAGACCGTGTTGTCTCGGATGAGGTCGAGGGTCTAAAATTCGTGAAAGG